TATATATATATATATATATATATAGTGACTATATTAGAACAATTGAGCAAATGATGTAGCATATTATTTGAATAAAGATAACCAAGTTGAAAGTTTAATCGCAATTGTTAAGGTTATCATTGCCTCTAGAGAAAGGAACAAACATAGAATCATATGATTCTATCCATATAAAAAAAAGTGAAGACATGACTCATTCTTATTAAATAATGACATGATATCTATGAATAGAGAGAGAATGAGTAGGTTTGATTATAAGTCGAACTTACTCTACAAGGACTTACAATCCTATTGGAGTTAAGATCACCTCTAAAAATGTTAAGCATTCTAGACAAATCGCCTAAATTCATATCAATCATGTGGCCAGTTAAATAGGAGAGGCAAGTATACCTCTCTAGGATATGATATGGTGAATACAATAATACTTGCCCTTAATGTGAAGGCTTTAGCAGTATAACTTAGATTGTGGTTATGTAATTCAGTTCATTTGAAATCAAATCATAGTTTATGTAGGAATATAAATTTTATTTATGAAATTTTTAGCATTTGACCTTATATGTTTTAGGATTAAATCTTTCAAGATATTAAAATTTTAAAAGAGATAATAATAGCCACATGTATGGAAATAATACCTATGCCCTAATCTAATATAAACAAGCATCTAAGGGGATGTACCTTAATAACTTACACTTATGTATAAGTGAGTGTGTAGTGAAGGTTATCCAAATAACTTTGATGGGATCACTAGAACTGACCCCATTTTAAGGATCTAAGTGAGCTAAGACACATCACTCTGACATATTAATTTTAAGCAAATAAATTTTAAAATTTTATTATATATGAATAATTATGTATAACGAATAAATATTAATTTTAAAAACGTTTACCTTATTTATATTCTAAATAGTAAATGACTTAATTTTAAAATATATTTGAAATATGATTATAAAAAATAATATTTACAAAAATAAATTTTATTTAAAATTATCACCTTACATAAGGTCTAAATAGCCATGGTGATGTAGTTTAGATCATTTAGACTCTTAGCACAATCACATGAGTGAATGTAATGCAACAATTTGCATTATTCAATGAGATATACACTTGAGTAATGCTCATTAAAGTATTACAACCAAAATTGAGATTTCTAATCTAAGTAGATTTTGTCTAATTAGATATTCAGCTGACATTCTTAAATCTATGTAAAACTGACATGCTATGCACACCAAGATAAGAGAGTAGGAGAAAATAAGATCCAAAGATAAAAAACTATACCATATATTTGAAATTCTATCTCAAGGTTATAATTCACTTAATATATCATTTTATATAAATAAGACATATAAGACATACTGCATCAAACACTATGCAAGCCAAATATGATAGAAATCATGATACATGACTGCAAAATAAGGAAATGCAATAATCTAAAAAATATATGAGCATGTAATGATGCCTTCACTTCCACCCCCTTCATCTGAATTATCTGCCCTGGTCTTTAATAGTGCTCAACCCTCTCAAGCAAGTCACCCTACTTGTCATTACTGTCACAAAACCAACCATACTTGTGACAAGTGTTGGAAGCTCTGCGGAAAACCGACATACAAATCCTCGGCCAAATTCTCTACTGTGAAGGGTCTTAGTACGACGTCAGAGTCTACCACGGTTCAACCGGCTCCTACTCAGAACATTCTGGAATCCTTCAACTCCTTAAAAAGTCAAATGAGGCACTTAACCAAGCTACTTGGATCTAATCAATTCTCTGCTGGCCACGTCGACCTCACAAGGCTGTCCAGGTACTATCCCTATGACACTCACATCTTTTTCTTCCTCAGGTCTGTGGATCATTGATTCAGGTGCCACAGATCGTATGATTGGATGCTCGTAAGGTTTCTCGACATACTTTTCATATTCTGAAAAAATATATTGTCAGAATTGCGGATAATTTCATTTTTGGTAAAAGGTTTGTTATTCTAACGACCGATCTAACTAAAATCAGTGTTACATATACCATAGTAAAAGTGTAACATTTTATCAGTTATATGACTGAATGCTTGTAAGCTTTCTCGACATAATTTTCATGTTCTGAAAAATATATGGCCAGAATTGCGGATAATTTTGTTGTTGGTAAAAGGTCTGTTGTTCTAACGACTGGTCTAACTCCAAAATCGGTGTTATATGTATCACTGCTGAAGTGTAACATTTTATCTGTTAGTAAGTTGACACATGATATTGATTGCATTGTTCATTTCTCTCATGACGTTTATGTTTTTCAGGATCTTCATTTGGGGAGGATGATTAGAACTGCTAAGTGGGTAGCTGGATTCTATTACTTTCAAGATAAAAACACTGAGAATGAGGACATACCTCTCAGTAGTTGTAGCTTATCCTGAGTCACTGAATGTCTAATTATGTTATTGCTTTGTCATTTGGGTCTTCTTAGGTTCAATATTTAAAACATTTATATCCATTGACGTTTTCTAATCAAAGTCTTTCTAGTTTCAAGTGTGAACATGTCAGTTAGCCAAACATTTTCGGGTTCATTACCCACCCCAAACTTTCACATCTTCCGCTCCTTGGTCACTCATTCATAGTGACATATGAGGATCAACTCGCACTGTCAGCTACTCCAATAAATAGTAGTTTCTTACTTTGATTGATGACCACATTCAGATGATGTGACTTTATATTTTAAAAGACAAATCAGAAGTTGCTTTTACTTTCCAAAATTTTTATACTTTCATTTTGACCCAATTCAAAACTCCACTTCAGGTCTTTTAAACCCACAATAGTCACGAGTTTTTAAACTCTATTTCAATCCTTGGTAAGTAAGGACTCTCCCACCAAAGCTCGTGTACAGACACTTCTAAAAAAATGGGCTAGTTGAGAGAAAAAATTGATATCTCCTTGAGGTTGGTCGCTTCATTATGTTTCAAGCTAATGTCCTGAAACATTTTTTGAATGCTGGCATACTGACTGTCACCTATCTCATAAATAGACTCCCATCTAAAATTCACATTTTCCAAACCCCCTTTACCATCTTAATGTCATGTTTTCTTGCCAATCAGGTCTTCTTTACATTTGATCCTAAAATATTTGGCTGAACCTTTGTTTGGAACATTAACCCCGCTCGGAGTAAACTTGATCCCAAATCATAAAATGTGTCTTCATAGGGTAAGTTGCTACTCAAAAAGGGTTTCAGTGTCTGGATCCTATCACAAACAAAATTTATGTGAGTGCTGATGTTTCATTTTTTGAAAGTGTTTCATGTTTTTCTAACTCGACCTTAGGTGAGAAGGAGCTAGAGTTTTTAGACATTATTTCTTATCCTACTTCTTTGGATGTTCCACTCATTGTTCCTACCACTGAGGAATCTCTGGTTTCTGTTGTTCCACCATCTCCTCCCCCCACTCTCCATGTATATACTCGGCGCCCTAGTCTTGACACGCTTACTTTGGAGCCTGCTACCTCTTTGCATGACCTTGAATCCACTCCTAGCGATATCCCCGACACTACTACTTCATATGAGATGAGTTTCTCGAGTAAGGTATGCAATCAGGCATGCTCTCCCTATTCAATGGCAAAATATGTCTCTTTCTATAGTTTATCGCCAACTTACAGTGCTTTTGTTACTGCCCTAGCAGATCATCAAATCCTAGCTACTACTGAGGCTGCACTAGTGGATCCGGCCTGGAAAGCTGCAGTAATTGACAAGATGAATGTTCTTCAATGGAACCATACATAAGACATCGTAGATATTCCTCGGGGTAAGAAAACGGTAGGATGTCAATGGAATTATAACATCAAGTTCAACTCAGATGGCTCCTTTGAACGCAAGAAGGCATGTTTGGTCACCAAACGATTTTCACATATCTACAGAGTTGATTATTAGGAGATATTTGCTCCGGGGCCAAAGTTGAACAACATTCGGGTCCTATTATCTTTTACAGTGAATTTGAATTTTCACTTATTGCAGTCGATATCAAGAATGAATTCCTGAATAGAGATCTTACAGAGGAGGTGTGCATGTCATTTCCTCGTGTCTTTCACTATACTACATTCTTAAGAAAATTGTGTCGGCTATGAAAGTCCCACTATGGACTAAAGCAATCCCCACGGGTCTAGTTTGGCAAGTTCACAAAGGTAGTAGTGGGTCATAATTTTACTCAAGCTTAATGGGATCACTCTCTCTTCTTCCTGCATACATTCAATGGCCAGATTGTTATTCTTATCATCTATTTTGATGATATTGCTCACAAGAATTGATCTATTATGCAAAAATAAATTATGCAAATATTAATAATCTGAAATCATCTCCGTGAAGAAAAGAATATCTTGCACAAAAAGTCTGCAACCTCTGGTTCATATATTCGAGTTTAGAAGAAGGGTGTGAGAGTACTATTTTGTCTGTTTTTTTTTTCTATAAAGAATACTCTTTTACTTTAGTGGTTATTTTTATTTTTTTTCTAAATTTTTTTATTATGCTTTAATGTAAAATAAGTATTTAAGATATTAAAAGTATATTGTTTATTCTTTTAAGGTTTGTATAGGAGAATTTTATGCTATTTGAAATTACCACCATAGTTAAATTTGGGGAAATGTTTTCTTGCTACTTTCTAAAAATTTCTATGGCGGGTTGCTGCTTTTTAAAATCTATTGTGTTAAAATGTGGTGATTGTAAGAAAACTGATGTTTGATTTTTTGAAATATATATCTATAATTTTCACTGTATTTTTCTAAAAAGGTATTATCTGCCTTATAGCTTTATAATCATTATAATCTAGGGGCATTTACATACATTCCCATATATATATATATATATATATATATATAT